AGAGGCTTTTTAGCCTGTAGGCTGCCAGTTCTAAATGCTACAGTTTAGAAGTGACCAAACTATGTTTTTGTTTTGTTTTTTACTACATGAAAAGAGTAAGTGATCTTGAACCTTGACCAGGTTGCTGTAAGAACACTCTACTCTGTTTAAGCCACTTACTCTAGTGGGAGGAGCAAGTAAAGAGAAGAGAAATGTCATGGGGGCCTTCTGTGATTCATATATCAGATATCTGCTTTCTTTTTGAATAGTCTATAGTCAAGTCCCTGGGTAGCATAAATACTTAAGTACTTGACTACTAACTCAAAGGTTGGCAGTTCAAGACCACCCAGAGGCTCCTTGGAAGAAATGCCTGGCAATCTGTTTCCAAAAGGTCTCATCCTTGAAAGCCCTATGGAGTGCAGTTCTACTCTGCAACACATGGGGTTGCCATGAGTCTGAACAGACTGGAAGGTAACTGGTTTTCTGATTTTTATAGTCAAGACTAAAGAAATATTCTAATAATCTAACTACACTATTTCAAATTATTGTAACTTTTAAGGAGTTTTAAATTATCACTTGCTAGAGACGTAGTCTCTATATGATTATATACAATACACACACAGACACACACTACATGCATATCATATTTCATATTTATTAGTGTAGTCTAATCTCTAAGACATTTATATGTTGAAATTCTGGCATTAAATTTCATCTTACTTTAAAAAGGCTCTCCTGTGTTTTTGATAGTAAATCCATATTCAAAACACCTTCATTATATCAAAATTTTAATTGTCTGAAAAGGATATAGTCTAGATTGGTGCTTAGAAAAGTGATACTTGTTAAATACCTAATTTTCTTCAGCTCAGAAAAACAAACACCATATTTGGCATTTGTCCATTTTCAAGCCATTGGAACAGTTTAGAAAATTCTACTTGCCTAGTCCAAACTTTGGTTTTCTACAGATTCACTGAAGACAACTCTATTCTCACCAAGCTGCCTCAACATTATCTAAAATGAGACAGACAAGGGAGGAAAGATGAATAATTCCCTACAACAAGCCTCAGGAAGGATTCTCCTCTGCTGCTGGGTGCACATATGATGGGGGACTGGAGGCATATATTCAAACACAGATTGCCCATATCTGATACTCAAACTCATTCATTCCTGTCATGGATTGAATTGTGTCCCCCACAAAATATGTGTCAACTTCATTAGGCCATGATTTCTAGTACTGTGTGGTTGTCCTCCATTTTGTGATTGATATAACTTTCCTATGTGTTGTCAATCTTAATCTCTGTCTGTGATTAATAAGGCAAGACTGGATTATGTTGAAGAGGATTAGAATGGGATGTAACACCCTTGCTCAGGTCACATCCCTGATCCAATGTAAAGGGAGTTTCCCTGGGGTGTGGCCTGCGCCACCTTTTATCTTACAAGAGATACAAGGAAAGGGAATCTAACAGAGAGTGGGGGACCTCATACCACCAAGAAAGCAGTGCCGGAAACAGAGCGCGTCCTTTGGACCCGGGGTTCCTGCATGGAGAAGCTCCTAGTCCAGGAGAAGATTGATGACAAGGACCTTCCTCTAGAGCCAACACAGAAAGTCTTCCCCTGGAGCTGACACACTGAATTTGGACTTCTAGCCTACCTGACTGTGAGAGAATTAACTTCTATTTGTTGAAGCCATCTACTTATAGTATTTCTGTTATAGCAGTGCTAGATGACTAAGAGTATTCCACACTGGAGATTGTCCACAAAGCTCAGAGGAAGGGAATCACATCTCTCTTGCTAATTCCCTATTGATGGTTTTTCAAGGCATATTCCAGAATCAAGAATATTGAAAACAAACGAATCAACAAATAATTACCAAGTATGTAATTAATACAAGGTTCTAAGCACTGTGAAGGATATAGTAAAAAAAGAAAAAAAATGGTTCCTTTCCTGTACAGAATTACACCCTCATTAAGTAAAAGTTAAACAAAAATATGAGACAATGCAAATGATACCAAAACTGTAAAAAATAATAAATTATTGGAATGGAATTGAGAGTGCTGAGCAGTAGAATAAATTTGAAATTGGAATCAGGTGATGGTTTAGGCTTAAATATCTAGTTTTATGCCTGGAGCAAATCAGCAAATAAAAGTGAAGTCAGGAAGACTGGCTATTTGAGTCATAGTTTTTTAGTTAATAAAAAACATTAATAATAATTAAAAAAAAACTCATTGCTGTCAAGCTGACTCCGACTCATAGCAACCCTATAAGACAGCATAGAACTGCCCCCATAGCGTTTCCAAGGAGCGCCTGGTGGATTTGAACTGCATAGCGTTTGGTTAGCTGCTGTAGCTCTTAACCACTATGCCACCAGGGTTTCCATTTATAATAATGGCCATCATTTATTGAGCACC